AACATAGAAACCTTTTTAAATTTGACCATCTAAATTGGGTTGGAGGTTTGTACATAGGAAGGAAAGAAACATTGGCAGGGTCTTTAGGTAAACTGTGTCTTGTAATGATTCAAGGACTAGGAGATAAAAAAACTTTCTTATTAGGAATTGGCCCAAGTTTGATGGGAATTCAACAATTCTAAACACCTTTTTAAATTATTTCTTTTACTAAACACTCTTTTAAAAAAAAAATAAAAAGAATATGGAAGTGTACTACTTTTTGCAAATCTTACAAAACCATGAGAATAAATCTTATTACTATGAGAATACTTTTGTTAAGACCTCTTCCAGGGTATTTGAAGAGGCCTAAAATTTAAACCATATTAACTTCTGCAAGGAGATCCAACCCTTGGAAAAAAGTAACAGAATTTATGATTCTAATGACAGAAGAAAAGAATTAGACACACATCTTTGAATGAGAGGTCAGAATGTTTCAGACTCCTCACATTGACTTTCTCTTCAGTGAAAGGGAGCACTATAACAAGTTTAAATTGATTTCTTAGGCATACTAATTCCACCTAGCCCTAAAATAACTATTAGATCGCCACAGCCCTGATGCAGATGACTACAAAAGTTGCTTTTCTTATCAAATTCACTTATATGGAGGCTTTGTTTCAAATGTAAGGATTAGGTTCAAACAGGATGTAGTAGTCTTTTCAGTCCTTGCATCCCACTGGATTTAAGTGTGATACACAGAAGTATTATTGACAGCTACAGACAGGAAGTAAGGAGAGGGGAAGGAAGGCAAAAGCTCAAGACGTGCAAGACAACGCAGGAAAGAGTAGAGGAAAGGGGAATGAAATAGGAGACGGGAGGGAGGAGCAGGAAGCCTGCTGGTGGTGATATTCAAGCATAAATGATTGTAATTCTTGTACACAGTAAGGTTTGAGAACCACGAATTTAATGATTAACATTGGATATAATGTTGTATAAATGTATACAAACTACTTAACCTCAGTTTATTTCATTTTTTTAACTTCTTTTACTTAGTTTGTGCTTATCTTTCACTCAGTTCCTTATTTTTATAGTCATGAATTCCTTCCAAGAACTCCTGATTTAAGAGAGCTCCTGATTTAGTTTCAGCTTTTGTATGCTGTTATTTAGAGTATTTTTGTTTAAAATTTAAGATAGACACTCTGATGATACATCACTGCAATCCATAAAGAGTACCACACAGTGCAGTACAATACCTAGTACAAAGCAGGGTGTGGCAATCACATCATCTCCATTATTTTATTTTTTAGTTTATAGTTTATTTTATAGTTTAGTTATACCAACAAGAATCAGTGTGCATGATTGAACCTTTGAAAGTGAAGTTACTCTGAGAAGCAAGTAACAATTTCCTCTGCTGGTGACCTCTAGTGATATTGAGGAAGCAGTTCTCCATGTGTAACACTCTGATCATACAATGACGCTTCCTTGTGTTCCTTTAACCCTTCAACTGGCTCTTTCTTCACAACTCATCATACGTAGACTCTAGTTCTTTGCTACCACATTCTTACTACAGTGTGAAGATTTGTGAGATTAACTGCAGTAATTTTCCCATCTACACTTTCGACACTCTTCTATGATCTGTTGCTAATTATACTTTCATAACTTTAGTTATTTTTGTATGCTGGGAATGAAAAGAAATACTTAAAAGTATTTAAAAGAAATAATCTGAAAATAGGATGATGCTATTTGATTTTTCTCTACAAAAGATTTCCATTTGATAGTACCAAAAACCTGGGATTGTTAGCCACCCAGGACCCCCTCAATCCAAATTCAAAGTTTGACATGTTCTATTCTAAAGGCTAACCATTATATATAATTCCTTTCTGAAAGGCCTCACTTAGTTCCAGTTCATCTTTATTTCTAGATTTAACTCTTAAGGATTTTATCTCAATGTATGAGGTGTTTATTACTGTAGTTCTCACACTTGACAAATCCTAGACTCCTTGAGCTTCTGGGATAGCCAAAAACACAGCTCAGCTGTTCAGTATTTCTTCCTGATTAACATACATATGTCTAATGCTAGAGTGACCTTGGGTATTGAATGAACTCTCTTTTCTAACCTATCATCTTCTTTCTTTTTTTTTTTTTTTTTTGGTGAAAAAAATTTATATTTAGAATTAGCCCGCTGGACTCAGTTTAGATGATCCCAATTTTGTTGGCAACATCCAAAGCATCGTAATCAGGAGCAAGTCGAACATAGGCCTTCTTCTCTCCATCAGGCCTAATCAAAGTGTTGACCTTAGCCACATCAGTGTCATAGAGCTTCTTTACAACTTGTTTAATTTGGTGCTTGTTGGCCTTGACATCCACAATGAACACAAGTGTGTTGTTATCTTCTATCTTCTTCATGGCTGACTCAGTAGTGGTCAGGGGAAATTTGATGATGGCATAGTGGTCAAGCTTGTTTCTCCTGGGGGCTCTCTTTCGGGGGTATTTGGGCTGCCGTCGGAGTCTCAGCGTCTTAGGCCACCGGAAGGTGGGTGACGTGCGGATTTTTTTTTTTTTGCCTGTGGACGCCCTTCAGGACTGCCTTCTTGACCTTTAATGCCTTTGCTTTGGCTTCAGTTTTGGGAGGGGCAGAGGCTTCCTTCTTGGCTTTCGGCGCCATCTTCGTAGAAAGGTTCATCTTCTTTCTGAGTTTGTCTTGGGGATTTATAAACATCTTATTAGTCTTTCATGGTTTCTATAAGTTATTTTGTACAGGATTTTTTCTTTGTTTGCTTTCCATCAGCAGAGAGATTTCCCATTGCTGAAAGTTGCTTGCTAACAACCACCACTATTATTTGCTTTGGGGAATAATGCTCAGCATTTGTATTTTTAGATTACAGACATATCCTAAAGTATGGGAAAAGAGTAGCTTTATTGTTCCATTCCATACTAGCATTGAAACTAGATGGGAACAGATGGGCCTCTAACAGTTTTAGAGCACAACGTAAACCTCTCCTTAAATTCTGGAAGCAATATATTAAGAAATTGAAATTATTTTTGCTAGTTTACCTAGCTAGTTTATCTTACCTGAAATAGAAAGAAGTTCTCTTTTTAAACAGACTTTTTAAGTTGTGTCAGGGTCTGTCTCTTTCAGCAGGTTGTCTTCTACTTGGACTTGGAAGATAAATCTCAAAAATACAAGTTTTGCCAATTATGATGGTACTACCCATGATTCTAAATTGTTTAAAAACTTTGCTTTCTTGTTTTGATCTTCATCTGGCATTATTTAACCTGTTTCCATTAAATTTAGGAGGATTTAAATTTCAAATGTATTTCATAGATTATAGAGTTAAGGTCAGCATTAATATGTTATTTTACCTTCTACAGTAGCTTGAATAAGCTGTTTAAATTGCTACCAGAATTTAAAAAATAAAACAAAAAAAAACAGTGAGTGGGAGTCATCATACAGAACAATTAGAGAATTTCTTTTTATATTTGAAGAGGATCATGAAACACAAACTGAGTACAGTCTGGCTTTCTATTACTTGGCTCTATTGCAAACTAATTTTCAAAAAGAATAGTCTTATCTGTAATGTTTTATTAAAATATTGAGTACATTGAGTATCAAAACCATATACTACCTTCTTACATTTCATCAAGATACTTAGTACATATATTAAAGACTTTTATTAATGCATGCAAATAATCCTTGATACTATAAAAGAGGAAGACTGACCTTAAAATCTAAAAGCATTGTATGTTTTATATAAATAACTTTCTTTTGCATCTTAATGGTAAAGAGAAATGGCTGTAATTAATTTCCATTTTACATATAAAACTTCCATTACAGTCCAGGACATTATGTAGAGATGCTTTTTTTCCAGTTCTTTACCAAAGTAATGATGTTTGTTTCGCAAATAAATTTTATCCTATACACTAAGCTTTCTATCTATAGCAAGTGCTTCATCTGGCTATTAACAAAGTAATTTTTAAAAAAAATAATAATTGCCCTAATGATAATGATGTTTTGTCTTAGAGTAAAAAACAAAGGATTAAACTATAAGTCATCACAGCATTTTTTTAAAATGCATCTGAGCAGTACTCCCTCAATCCTTTATTTTCAAATATCCAAACAAAGGAAGGGAAAGAAACACCATAAAAATGATCAAATACATCTATCAGTTAAAAAAGAGAGAGAGAGAAATACATCTATCAGTAAAAGAGGAGAGAGTGAGAAAGAGGAAAAGAGACAATGAAAAATTAAAAATAATTGGAATGAAATGGTGACTGGAAGCAAGATCTTAAGCCTAGGATTATAGTGGGATTCTAGATGACCAAGAAAAGGAAAGTCATGTCTGTTCAGCAAGTTTTGGGTTTGGGGGGTTTCTGTTGTTGGTTTTTGGTTGGGTTTTTTTCTTTCCATTTTTCTACTAGTTTATTTACAAAATCTGAATATCTTCACATTGTACAACCCCATGATTAATCCCCCATCCCCCTGCCCGTCCTCATCCCTCTTCTTCCAACCTCTCCCACCCCTCTTGGATCCTTATACTCATTCTATAATAATGGTTTTATACAATGTTTATCCTTGTGGAACTGAGTTCACTCAGCATAATGCTCTTCAGTCTCTCCTAAGTTAGGTAATTGTTCCTCAATGTTCCCTCAGCCTCAGGTGTTTCAGGTAGATATTGAGGATAATCTGAATTGTTGTGAACCATCGAGTTGGAACCGACCCACAGCTTGCTCTCTGGCAAGTTTTCAGAGGCAGCAAATCACACAGGAGGGGATTGCCCATCTTACTTCTGCAGAGGAGCTGGTGGATTCCAACTGCTTGCCTTCAGGATTATAGCATGGCTTCTTAGCACGAGTCCACCAGAGCTCCAAATTTAATCCCTAAAAGTAGGAAAATAGTTTCTAGTTAGGGATCTTGTACTTTTGGATTTAGAGTGTGAAAGTTAAGGAAATTACTGAATTGACTATAAGAGTAGTGGCAAACTAACCCATTAGTCATGATGTTTTCCAATGTTTTTTCCGTACAGGTGATGCGGAACAAGAACTTGGCCCCCCTCCATCTGTAGATGAGGCAGCAAACACACTCATGACTCGTCTGGGTTTCCTCCTTGGAGAGAAAGTCGCAGAAGTTCAGCCAGGTGACCAGTATAGCATGGACGTACAGGATGAAAGCCAGGTAAGCTGCTTACTAACAACTTTGTGAAACATGTTATGAAGATACGAATAAGGTTATTATTACCAGAAATGAAAAGGTATTAATTCTGTGTGTATGATTTCTGAGAATAACAATTCTACTGGAATATCTTTTGAGAATTGAAGTTATACTTTAATTTTCCATAATTATGATGTTTCATCTAATTACGAAGAGTCTTTTAATTTCTTTCTTAGATTTCAAAAGCCAGTTTTAGATTTGATTTATTGAAAAGGTGAATAAATTAAAGAATGAATAGATAAGGAAAGAATAAATGAACAAGCCAGCAAACTTAAAATGTATGTACACTGCACCCAGAAATTGTAGAATATACATTTTCTCCAATTACTCAAGGAATATTTGCCAATTTAGTGATAGAGTTGTTCATAGAGTAAGTTTCAACAAATGTCAAGAGATTAAAATCACTGTGATCACTCATTGCAGTCAAGTATAGTTAATGGGTTTTCAGATGCTATAAATCGTATGAAAGGATATTGCCCATTTTTCTCCCTAGGGACAGCTAGTGAATTTGAACCAGATGACTTTGGATTAGCAGCACAATTTCCTACCCAGTAGACCATAAGAGCTCTGTGTGATCATGATGAAATTAATCAATAACAAAATGTTAACTGGGAAACTCTGTAGGTATTTTCCTATTAAATAAAAACTTCTGAGTAGTTTATTATCAAAAAGTTCAAACAGGATATAACAAAATTTGTAGGCTATGGCTAAAGCAGTACTGAAAAATACATTTTGGTGTTAAAATGCATATATTAGAAAAGTAGAAAATCTGAAAGATTGATGATCTTGGTATTTATGTCAGAAATTTAAAACACCAGAAATTTTTAAAAAATGTTCAACAGTTTTATTTCTTTAAGCCAATTTAATTTTTTTTTCTTTCAAAATTAAATGTAGTAAAAGAATCCAATTGATTGGCATGGTCTTAATTTTTAAAAGTAATTCCTAAGGGACCTCTGGTGGCTTAGTGGCATGAAGCTGCACTGCAATCCCAGAGGTGGTTGTTGGTATGTACCAATGAGTCGCTTGCGACTCATAGCAACCCTACTTTGCCAATCTCACTGTCTCTGACACACTCATCCCGATTGCCCCAGTCTCCGAATCAATCCATCCCCCAGAGGGCCTTCCCCTCCTGCGCCTGCCCTCCGCCCTCCCAAGGATGATGTCTTTCTCCAAGGACCTGTCTCTCCTTAAAACATGACCAAAGTATGTCAGATGAAGTCTCAGAGTCCTTGCCTCCAAGGAGCAGCCCAGTTTAACCTTCTCCAGGATGAATCTGTTTGTTTTCTTAGCAGTCCATGGAACCCTCAGCACTCTTCTCCAACACGAAAGCTCAAAAGCATCAATTCTCCTTCTGTCCTCCCTGGTCATTGTCCAGCTCTCTGATGCATAACAAGTGATTACAAAGACCATGGCCTGTACCGGACGCATCTTAATCTCCAGAGAAACACTGTTGCTCTTGAGTACTTTAGAGAGGTCCCTAACAGCAGACTTTCCCATCTCAATACTTCTTTTAATTTCCTGGCTGCTGGTGCCAAGAGTGTTGATTGTGGAGCCAAGGAGACCAAAGCTGTGAACAATCTCGATCTCTTCACCATCCATCCTAATGCTGCCAGTAGGTCCACTGCTGAGAATCTTTGTCTTCATGACATTGAGCCTCAATCCATATTGGAGGCTGCAATCCTTGACCCTCTGCAGCAAGCGCTTCAGGTCCTCCTCAGTTTCAGCAAGCAGGGTTGTGTCATCTGCATAATGCAGATTGTTGATAGATGTTCCACCAATCCTGATGCTGCATTTCTCCTCATAGAGCCCAGCCTCCCAGATAATCTGTTCTGCATACAGGTTGAAAAGGTATGGAGGAGACAGGTCACATCCCCGGTGTACGCCCTTCCAATTTTGAACCATGCAGTGTTTCCCTGCTCTGTTCTGATGACTGCCTCTTGGTCCAAGTATAAGTTTCGTATTAGCACGATCAAGTGTTCTGGGATTCCCATTCTACTCAGAGTCAGCCACAGTTTGTTATGGTCCACACAGTCAAACGCCTTTGCATAATCAATAAAGCACAGATAGACATTCCTCTGGTATTCCCTGCTTTCAGCCAATATCCATCTGACATTAGCTACAATATCCCTAGTACCACGACCCCTTCTAAACCCAGCCTGGACTTCTGGCAGTTCTCTGCTGATGTGCTGCTCCAGTCGTTTTAGGATAATCTTCAGCAGAATCTTGTTTGCATGTGAGATCAGCGATATTGTTCTATAGTTTCCACACTCTGTTGGGTCACCTTTCTTTGGAAATGGAACAAATATAGATCTCTTCCAGTTAGTTGGCCAAGTGGTTGTTCTCCAGATTTCTTGGCACAACTTGGTGAGCACATCCAGGGCAGCATCTATTAGCTGAAATATGTCAGTTTGGTATACCATGTATTCATGGGGCCTTATTTTTTGCTATTTCTTTCAAAGCAGCTTGAACTTCTTCCTTCATTACCATAGGCTCTTGCTCTTATGTTGTTTCATTAAATTCTTCTGTGTCTGCCAATTCCTTTTGATACAATGACTCAGTATATTCTTTCCATCTTCTTTTGATACCTCCTGGATCATTTAGTACTCTGCCCAAAGCATCCTTGATTAATAGCAACTCGAGGTTTGAATTTTTTCTTCAGTTACTTGAGCTTAAGAAATGCTGAGCGAGTTCGGCCCTTTTGGTTTTCTGACTCCAACTCCTTGCACATTTCGTTGTAATATTTTACTTTGTCATCCTGCACTGCCTTTTGAAATCTTCTGGTCAGCTCTTTAGTATCTTGAATTGTTCTTGTGCTTTGGCTTCTCTGCGCTCCAGTGCAATATTCAGAGATTCTTCTGACATCCATTTTGGCCTTTTCTGACTCTTCTGTCTTTGTAAAGAACGTTTGCACTCTCCTTGGAGGATACCTTTGATATCCTCCCACATCTCATCTGGTCTTCGTTCATTCTTGTTCAAGGCCTCAAACCTGTTCTTGAGATGGTTATGAAATTCAGGTGGGATAGACTCAAAGTCATATTTTGGTTCCCATGGATTCGGTTTAATTTTCTTCAGCTTCAACTTGAACTTGCATATAGTCGTTCGTAGTCTGTTCCACAATCAGCTCCTGGCCTAGTTTTCACAGCTGATAGAGCTTCTGCAGAGGTTCCTTCCACAGATGTAATCGATTTGATGATTCCTATGCATACCATCAGGTGAGATCCATGTGTATAACCTGAATTTATGTCTCTTTAAAAAATGTGTTTGCAATGAATTAGTCATTGGTTGTGCAAAATTCAGTCATTCTATCTCCAGCCCCATTTCTGTCTCCGAGTTCATATTTTCTGACTGCTGATTCTTCTTCTCTGTTCCCAACTTTTGCATTCCAGTCACCCATTATTATCAATGCATCTTGATTGCATGTTCAATCAATCTCTTACTGAAAAAGTTGGTAGAAATCTTCTATTTCTTCTTCTTTGGCTCTGGTTGTTGTTTCATATCCCAGAGGTACGTGGTTCTAATCCACCAGATGCTCTACTGGAGAAGGAGGGGCAATCTCTTCCTGTACCAGTCAGATCTGATTTGATGGTACACACACAAAAAATAATAACATTTTAAAAAAGTAATTCCTTATAATTAAGTATGTCACTTCTTGCTGCTGTTGTTATTGTGTGTCATCAAGTGGCGGAAGCGCCCCATAGCTGACCCTCCTGTGGGTTTTCATATTTAGTAAATCACATCAAAGAAAATTGCCTATTCGTCTCTCAAAGAGTGGAGGACATGGTCACTTTGAGCCATGTGCTTTTGGGATTGCAGAATAGCTTCTTTCACTGGGCCACCAGAGCTCCCTAAGTATTTCAGTAATGACAAAAATTAATTAATTTTAAATTGCATATTATTAGCTAACATTTTTGTCTAATTGGAAACAACTCAACTGATCCTGCAGTAATTTTTCAGAGATGTTAAATCCTGAGTACTTGTCTTTCTCTGGTGGTGAAGTAAAGGGTTTAATTAGTTATTAAAAATATTAGTAGTAATGATTTTACAACTGAAGAGGACCTGAAGCACCTGCTACAGAGGGTCAAGGACTGCAGCCTCCAATATGGATTGAGGCTCAATGTCAAGAAGACAAAGATTCTCACCACTGGACCAATTGGCAACATCAGGGTGGATGGTGAAGAGCTTGAGATTGTACACAGCTTTAGTTTGCTTGGCTCCACAGTCATCACTCTTGGCACCACTAGCCAAGAAATTAAAAGGCACATTGCCATGGGAAAGTCTGCTGTTAGGGACCTCTCCAAAGTACTGAAGAACAGTGGTGTCTCTCTGGAGACTAAGGTGCGTTTGATACAGGCCATTGTCTTCACAATCACTTGTTATGCATCAGAGAGTTGGACAATGACCAAGGAGGATAGAAGGAGAATTGATGCCTTTGAGATGTGGTGCTGGAGAAGAGTATTGAGAATACCATGGACTGCTAGGAAAACAAACAGATTTATCCTGGAGAGGGTTAAACCGGGTGGCTCCTTGGAGGCAAGGATTCTGAGGCTCCGTCTAACATAATATGGACATGTTGTGAGGAGAAGACCGGTCCTTGGAGAGGGACATAATGCTTGAGAGGGTGGAGGGACAGTGCAGGAGGGGAAGGCCCTCTATGAGGTGGATTGATTCAGTGATTGGGATAGTTGGGATGGGAGTGTCAGAGACAGTGCGATTGGCACAGGACAGAGCAGAGTTTAGGGCTATTGTACATAGGGTCGCTATGAGTCGCAAGCGACTCGACGGCACATAACAACAACAACAACAAAGCCATACCATCCTGAACGTGGCCGATCTCGTCTGATCTCAGAGGCTAAGCAAGGATCAGGCCTACTTAGTACTTGGATGGGAGACTGCCTGGGAATACCAGATGCTGTAGACTATAGATCGGTAGATAGATAAAGAGCTATCTCTTAAGAATAGTGTTC